AGAAAGGGTTGCCAAATGCCACTTCGCTGTTCAGAAAGCTCAGGGCCATACGGCGCCAATCAATCCTCAACATGCGCCATGGAATCCTTACAGGGCCTGCCAACCGGCATTTTTGGGTGCTCGAAACACCAGCTCGAACGTGAACTAAGGTACCTGCAGCAACTTGTTGGCAACGCTTCAGACTAACCCCTTCTGGAGTTTTGGATCAAAGTACATGGCTACAAGGACCCGTCTGGCTCAAATCTTATGATTCACCTTGCCACAGGCGCATTGAAGTTGTTTGTCTTACCCATATCTAACGCTGAAGCTGAACAAGTGTTCTCAAGTGTAACAATAATCAAGAAGGACATCAGAAATCGGATGTCCCATGAAGTGTTTCTTTCGATTCTTAAGATAAACATAAAAAACAGCGGCAATAACGAGAGACAAGAGAAAGAAAGAGACAGACGTTAACTTAAGATAAAGTTCGGACTGCGACTACGGAATATTAACTGCTTGGACTTTGTAATCCCGCAAGAAATGATGGCGAAAATGAACTCTGCAATTTAAGCTTGAATTCTTTGAGTGTACTCACATGTATTTTATCTCTTGTGACCCAAGGGGTGTTATTTCTAGTCATTTTAAGAAACGTCACGCAAGTCGCATGAAAACAGCTTTATTTCTGCAAGACATTTAGTGATCTTTCACGATCGCTGAAGTCCACAATTTATGCTTGAAACCGAGCATTTGTGATTCCGAAACGTTGATATTGCACTTACTTCATTGACATTGTGATACCGAATGTAGCTACACCATACTCAGTTTTATCATCACCAAAGTAATGTTACTTCTAGTCTTTTTTTTTACAAGGATCACACACGATGTGTGAAGAGTCATTTTTGCGACACTGCAGTATTTGCAATGGTTGAAACATTTGCAACCATTGTGATTGCTAAGCTCAACAATTTATGCTTGAATTCGAGCAGTTCTGAATCTGAAGAGTTATTACTGTACTTACTTACATTTTTGCAAAAGGGCTATTGCATTTTGTCATTCAAATAAAGACGTCGTAGCATTTTTCACGCATGTGTGGCTACTTTTGTCTAACTTAAGGGCCTTTGGCTTAAGTTGGCTACTTTCTGGCTAGTTTTTGTCATTTTTTGTCTACTTTTCGTCTTCTCAACCTGGCAATCTTGCTTCAAACTGGCGCGCGCGCGGTGTAGGCACACGCCGTGCGCTGGCTAACTCGAAGGCCATGCAAAATGCAACCACACTTACCGCGCCGACGGCGCATTGTGCACCTGCAATGTTTGTGCGCCGCCATCTGATGCTGCGTTTTATTGCGATAGTAATTATATAGATACTCTCTGCTGGGTTTTGCTGCCGACGTCAGCGTCACTCACCATATATTATCTATATATATAAAAATCCAAGAAAAAAAGCCGCCCTCGCGCGGCGCCCAGCTCGGCCACGATGCCCCGTTTCGCGCTTATCCCCCACGCGTATTTTGCCCCGCGAATGGAGAAGGGGCGAGGGAGGGGGGGAAGGCTATAGATGCTTGTGCGCGCGTACTTATCTTCCCGTGGGGAGAATTGCGGGCCTTCTACTTTGACCGGAACGATTGTGTTTAGTTACCGGGCGCACAAAGATACCTTGGCTCGCTGGACAGGTGCCGTTTGCGAAATGAGTGCACTTTTCAAACTGAACGAAATAACAACTGGGGTACTTATTACTAGTCATTTTGCACTCAAATCTGTACCTGCGATTACATTTAGGGCGTCGCTTTTGTTTAAACAGCGCGCTATGTGTCGAGCGGTAAACGTTGTTAGTTCGCTCTCGACCTGTGTGTGTTGTTTCGGGCGTCATGTGTGCGTGAACAGTGTACTGCACGTTTCGATCTTCTAGCCGTTCTAAGCGTTACATTCTAAGTTGTTGCTATTGTATTCATTTCTTAGCCCTTGCGGCGAAACTGCCACTTTTCTGTTGTCGGGTTTGTCGTTGTGAACTTAGTTGGGACACCTACTACGCAGGGCGCATTGTGCGGGTACCCTAGCTACACAGCTGGTTACAAACAGCAAGCGCTGAAGCAATTGAACCAAGCGGCTGGACGACACTTCGACATTAATCTGTGCGTTTTCATTATGAGAGAAAAAAAAAAAGGTTCAGGCTACAAAAAAAGATTTGTCGCGCATTTCACGGGCCCAAAAAAGCAAAGCCGTCATGCGAAATTTTCGCTGTTGTAACTCCCGTGACTTTTTTTTTTCCTGCGTAAAGAACTCTCCCCCCGAATTGGTGTGAACTTTTCTGAAGAAAAGGTGGGTTCATTATGCGAGCAAATGCGGATGCTAGAAATTCATTTGTTCACTGTTATGAAAAAATATTGTGATCACAGAAGTATTTTATTTTTTTACCAAGTACGCTTAAAAGGAAAAAATAATTTTTTTGGCGACCAATAATTGTCCTTTTTTTTTTTTTGCCCTTGACAAAATTTACTTTCATTAGACTACCTTTAGAATCAATGCTCTTGCATCGAAAGTGAATTTGATCAAATTGGGAATGATGAACAGGCCCCCATGTTCATCATAATCTGGGTTCGCCTCTTTATACTTTTATGTAAGCAAACATAACTTCATCTCTTCTACTCCAACCAAATGACATGTGTTCATTATTCCAGCAGGTTGTTGGTACAAAACGAAAATAAAAGGCTTTTTTGTTAAAGGGCTTCAATGTCAACAAATTCTGCTAAGCAAATCTGCGCTGTCAAAAAGTTGGTATCTTAGTGATGCCAGCTCTGTTGTGGCAGATTGACTGTATAAATGCCACCTTAAGAACTGAAAATGTACAGTCCCATTTACATGTTAAAATACAAAACAACCCAATTATTGCAATTCCTGAGAACTGATATCATGCTGCCATCTATTCAGTAGAAGAGAGACGAAGTGGACATGCCCAATTGATGTAAATCCCATGATTGTAAATTGCATAATTTACAAATTACAAAACGGCAATATTGTCGAAGACGAAGGGAACTTTTGATGAGCTCAGCTAGTTAGTTGAGTTCTTAATGGGTAAATCTATTTCTTGTTAACATTGCTTCAAAAGGGGGCCTAACAGGGAATTCTAGCCAAAAGTAATGGGCCTTGTACACAGGTTTCTGTTTCTCTACTATCAAACATAATACATACTAATGCCATTTAATAGAGGCACTTTAAGGCCCTCGCCAGAAGTTGACAGGTATTCAAAACAGGTGTAACAATAATATTAATAATAATAAATGTGTTTTATATTCCAAATGCCCGATATTATTATGACGAATGACATAGTGAACGACTCCTGAAATTTAGACCACCTGGGGTTCATTATTGCGCGTCCGAATCTAAACACAAGGGCATTCAGCTTTGTACCTTACATGAAATGCGACCACCGCGACGAGAATTCGATACCACTTCCTAGCACTATGACGACTAGACCACTACAGTGAGTACAATAGATGTAACAAATGATTAAGCTCAAAAGTAAACTTCAAGAGGAGAAAAAACAACTACATTGAAAGCCTTCAAATTCAGGCATCGTAGTAATAAACAGAGTACTATGCATAAAGCTTTTACATTTTCTTTACCAGATTAAAAAAAACTGTTTATCATTTAAAGGGGCCCTGCAACACTTTTTTAGCATGGTCAGAAAACGTAGTCGATTGGTAGTAGAGGCTCCCGACAACACGCGAGCCAAATATTGTAGCACAAAACGCGGTCTGGAATTCAACATAAATTATCACAGTCAGCTAAAAATTGCTTTCTCTTCTCTCGACAAATGGTGGAATATGCCCAAAAATCACATGTGAGTTACTCATCTATCAGCCATTAGCTAATTTGAGCATGGCGCATTTGCTCGTTACAGAGATCGCCGCAGGAGGCCGCAACTTGTTCACGCGTGCGCGTGCGATCACACCGAAAAAGTGGCGCATTCGAAAAAAAAAAAAAGAAAAAAAGTGCTTAAGGTCACGAGGCGCGTGTGCCATTTTTCTGTGGCCCTGCCATCCCCCCCTGTTTAGCTTCCAGTGCTTTTGTCAGGACGAGAGAAGAGAGAATGCAATTGCAACATGCGAAAAACCTTTATAACTCCACTCGCACTGGATGGATTATTAAAATTTTTGCAGCGTTGAATTCGTGAGGCAATAAGCTTTTTTAGTGAATTCATTCTGTGGTTACTTAAAAAAGCATTTCAGGGCCCCTTCAAGGAATATTGTCGCATTTGTTTAAATAAATATTGCGCATAATCCCTGCATTTTCACCAAGACCTCTTTTGACCTTTCCAGCAGTACTTGGTTCTCGTGCTACATACAATGAACACAACTTGTTCTCGTGCTACATACAATGAACACAACTTGCTGCAGCTCTTCAAACATTAGAAGCATATTTTAGGTTGCATCACTCAGCTAATGGGCTTCTTAAGCACTTCACCAGCCATATGTGTGAGTACAACATTAGTTATATACAGAAAAATTTCAAAAATTCCTCTACAACAAGAGAAAATTGATTTTGCTGTATATGTAGTTTTTAGGGTTCTTGTATTGTTCTTTCTTTTTTTTTTTACCATAAACCTAAAGTCTCATCATGTTTAGACTTAAACAAGATGTTTATATTTATATAAGATATACTCATACTAAAGAAACGGTGCCACAAGGTAAGACGACTGCTCATGAAAAAGAGAACACGAAACAAAACACAAGCACTTGTGTTTCGTGTTCTCTTTTTTATGAGCAGTCGTCTTACCTTGTGGCGCCGTTTTAGTAGTCTAAATTTATACCAACTTGCCCAATTGTCAGTTCTTCTAAATATAAGATGTACCTCAATATGCAACCCTAAAGTCACCGATTAAATAATGCCTCTTTCTCATCTGGCAAGGCAAGCACAGTAACTAAACAAAAATGAACCAAGCACACCATACGACATGCAAAGCCCTGTCTGGATATGTAGATACATTGAATATTTTGTCGTCACAAGACCCACTTCAACACTCACTTGTAGTATGCAAGCTGCATTGCCATCTGGACATAGCTGTCAGGGCTTAGCTTGTAAGACTTGATGAATTCCTTTCCATAACCTTTAAACTTGTAGATAAGAAGGTCTAAGTCTGATGTGAGCCTGAAAGTTCAATGGCAAGCATTTCAAATATTTTACATCAAAATACACATTTTTATACTAAGTAAGAATGGTCTTAATCATTGTTCTCATTCAACAACTTAAACATCTTCACACTTGTGTCGAGCTCTAATCACAAAGTGCATATACCAAACAGCAAGCTGTCATACCTCACCGAGTGCATCATTTAGTGTCAAATTATCAGCATGCTGAAATATTATGGTCCCCTGTGAATTCAAGCATACCTACACACTATCAGACAACAAGAAGACACACTAAACAATCATAAATATGAAACATCAGATCTGTCGCACAATATCATATAGTAACTCATACCAACCTAGAAAGCGAAGAATATGCTTCCTCGATGTCTTTCGTGGTGTCCAAGGAAACAATAAATTCAAGTTTCTTGGGAATGTTGTCAGCTGCTCTACTGGACAGTGGGCAGCCCAGCCTCTTTTCACTGCAAAATTTAATCATAAATCAAGCTCACTTCTCAAAACAATATTAAATATTGCAAATCTTCATGCCAACACAAAGCCAAGCTGAAATTTCTGTCGTGAAAGGTATAAAGCAATACCTCTGATGTCATGCAATTCTAGCAGCAAATTTGACCAGCCATTTGCATAAAGCAAAAGCAACCAGAAAAAATCAATAGGCATTGGTCATGGGAAGCACAGCCGCCACCACTAACCTGTAAAAATGAAACTTCTCTGCCCGACAAGTTCTAGAGAATTACCATATTTGCACGATTTTAAAGACAACTTTTTTTTTTCACAGAAAATAGCCCTCCAGTTTGTGCGTGCATTACAATTGAGTTCAAAAGCACGAACAGGGGCAGGGGCTGTATAAAGCGACTGCCGAGTTACAGCCAGCATTGCCATGGACAAGAAACATTGGAGAAGGAGGTGAATTCTTCGTGAACATTTTTTCGCAAGTGTCGCTTCCTAGCTACAAGACCTCAAAAAGTCACAAAGCATCTTTCAAGCAAAAGGCCATCTTACTTGCTCAGCAGTGGGAAAATACAGCAGGATCACGTGAAATCGTAGGTCGGCCAAATAAATGGAGCTCATTCGGACTTGCTCAATAAATGCAATTTTTGCTCAAGACTCACTCAGACTCAGATTGACTAAAGTTTTGCATATGCAGACTCACTCGGACTCCGACTCACAAAATTTATATCCACCAAACTCACTCGGACTCAGACTCACCAACGTTTTTGTAAACTGGACTCACTCGAACTTAGACTCACAAAAATACTGCTCAGCCAGACTCACTCAAACTAACAAGTTACAAAAATATAACTCAGCCGGACTCCGACTCAACTTTTTGTCAACCGGACTCGCTCCGACTCAGACTCACCACACTTTTCCTCAACCAGACGTGCTCCGACTACAAATCAGCAATATTCGATTTGGCCCTGCTCATACAATAAATTTCGAAAGACTGGCATAAGAAGCTTACATAGAATAACACATGTAAAGTGTTTACAAGTGCCACACAACTTCGAAAAAGTATATACGGTAGCTTTCAGCATACAAAAAAAAGTTATCTCTTGTACATCTCAATGTCTATAGTAAACAGAAAATCAACATTACATATAATTTCCACAATATTGGGAATGTTAACATTGAGGATAAGATTGGGTCAATAGACCTTCAAAAAAAATCAGGTTTTCATTTATGTTATCTTTCGCATGCACTATGGCACATGCACTGTTTGTTTTTATAGGGTGAGTGCATGCGTGCATTTTTTGCAGAACCAATTGAATGACGGACGTCCTCCTGCGGAACTTCATTCTTTGTCACGATGCACCGCGTGAACTTCTCAGTGACAGAGGACGTGTATTCCTCTCCGAAATCGTCAACGCACTCCTTGCCGAATGCCGCATCATTCACCGGACTACCACCGCCTACCATCCCCAAACGAATGATTTGACGTAAAGATTCAACCGTACCCTTGGCGACATGATATCGAAGTATGTTGCCTCAGACCACTTCGATTGGGACCTCAATCTGCCTTTTGTGACATACGCATACAACACTGCTCCACAGGCGACTACGGGCTTTTTGTCATTTTTTCTGTTATACGGCCGAGACCCTTCCACCACACTAGATACCATTCTGCCCTACCACCCCGATGCCTCCAAGTCTACACCCATCTCTGAAGCTGCCCGCCGCGCCGAGGAATGCCGTAAGCTCGCCCAGTCGTTCACAACTATCGACCAATGGAGACAAAAATCTCGGCGTGACGATAACCGCCCGTACCCTGACTTTGTTCCGGACACCCTTGAGTAGCTTTGGGTTCTAGCTGTCCGTACAGGCCTTTCTTCAAAACTTGTTTCAAAATACCAGGGACCCTACCGCGTTGTCTCGCTGACTTCACCACCTGTTTAACTACATTGTCGAACCTATCATGCCATCCACGGTCCAGCGCTTTCGGGGTGGTGAAACCGTTCACGTACAGCGGTTGAAACCATATTACGATCCGCTCATACTCTGTTCTCCCTGAGTCGTCAGGATGGCTCCTTTTCAGACGGGGGACGATATGTAGTGAAGAGGAATGCCCACTACTGCAGCGACATCGACATGTAGGCCCGAGGCACAAGCGAGGACTGCCTGGTTGCTGCTGCAACGACGCCCGTATACCCTGCCAGCTCTTGCTGCTTCTTTACCGACGCTGCTACTGCTTTTGACCTTGCATTTACATTATAGTAGAGATGCCAGGCTACTATACTGAATCACGCGCAAGGGCTTTGCTTCTGTTAATGCTTTGATGTACCTCGTGTAGCAGTGCCAAGATTGAAGATCGAAGTGACGATAGAATCACCGAACAGACACCTTTGAGCAGTACACGGTCGCGAACAGAAAGTTCATCAATCACCGATGAATACTTGGATGTGTGCAACCGCAGCTTATTTTTCCGAGGCCACTCCCGCTGACAAAAGGAGATTATTGTAGTGCATTCGTTATCTGAACTTTGTGCTTGACACACCTCCTGCACGTTTAGTAGCAAAACTTCAAATGTGACAACCACTGCATCTGCAACATAGAGCTCCATTACGTCAAGGGATGTGCCGGCCACAGTTTCTGTGGTAAGGAGCTGCACCGCATGCACGGGAAATTCATCCGGATTGTTGATGCGTGAGAGCATATCAACTGTAGCCAGGAGCTTACCAGGCACACGAAGTATCTTGAATTGGTAAGGCATTGTTTTGATCCGCAGTCTTTGTATTCTTGGAGGCAACACGTCGAGCTCCATCTTACCAAAAAGAGAGACGAGGGGTAAGTGATCTGTCTCCACATCGAGTTGGATACCTCGTACGAATTTATCGAACCTCGACAGAGCCCATGTTATAGCCAAAGCTTCCTTTTAAGTTTGGCTATATCTCTGCTCCGTCTTCGCCGTTGCTCTCGAGGCAAAAGCGACCGGACAGCACTCGCCTGATGGCTGCGTCTGAAGCAACACAGCCCCAAGTCCAAAGGAACTCACATCAGCTGAGACAGTCATGGCATACAACAAATTGTACTTCGCCATACACCTATCGAATGTCAGTATCTCCTTCGCCTTGACAAATGCGGCCTTCTGTTCATGCTGCCAAGTCCAGCTTGAAGACTTGTTGAGGAGTGCTCAGATTGGAGCAGTTATCTCAGAGATATGTGGCAAGAACCTGGCCAGATGATCGATCGTTCCAAGAAGACAACTGACACTTGCAACATCTTTTGGAGCTTCCATGGTCTTGATGGCTGCAAGTCTAGATGGTCTGATGATGCCTGGGTCCGGTCTGATACCTTGTGCGGACACAATTACTCTAAAGAATGGTACTTCCGACACACTGAATAACCATTTGCTCTTGTTTAGTGTGACCCCTGCTTTGGCAAAACGGCACAGAACCTGGTTCAGTCGGACATCATGTTCCTCTAGAGTGCGTCCAAAGACAAGTATATCGTCAGTCATATTTGTTACCCCTTTCTGTCGTTCAAGAATTCTAGCCATCTGCTTTTGAAAGTACTCTGGCACTGAGATAATGCCAAACGGAAGGTGGCAGAAGCAGTATCGGCCTAATGGAGTTATAAAAGTCGTGAGGTGTTGCGACACCTCAGCGAGTTTCACTTAGTGAAAACTTGCTGTTACATCCAGCTTGGAGAACACCGTTGCGTCTCCAACAAGCCAAAGGACCTGTTCAACCGTAGGGAGGATGTGACGTTCTCGAAGTATGACTTGATTTAGCTGGGTTAAGTCAACACAAAGATGATAATCCCCCGACACTTTAAGGACCACAACCAGTCCAGAACACTATGGCATTGGACTGTCAACGCGGTGAATTGCTCCGTCACTCTCGAACTTGTTCAGCTCAAGCCTCGCAGTTTCATGTAATGGGATGGAAATGCGATGAGAAACACTGAGTGAGAATGGTGTGGCATCAGGATTCAAGCGATTTCGATATTCATCTTTGAGGGTGCCAAGTCCGCGGAACACTTCAGCGTGAATTGAAGCTTCAGGTGCTTCCACCCCACCAAGCAATTGCAAGACATCGAGGGCTTGTATAGCCAGCAGTCCCAGAAGAGGGACAGAGAGCGATTCAATGACGAAGACCCGCTGGAAGGACATCTTCCTGCGCCAGCTTAGTCCAGCTGTATAGCACCACAATGGTTGACCTCTGGGTCTGGTAAGTACAATGTCAACCTTGTCCAGCTTGACTGGAAGCTTGGGGAAGACATCGGGTATGGCTGAGACCTCGGCTCCGGAGTCAACTTTAAATTGCGTTGTGTAGTCGTCCACGGTGACATCCACTAATAAAGACTTGGTCCTCACCCTGACGGTAGTCAGGTGAATGGATCCAATTTTTTGCTCCGATTTCCGCGAGCGACAAACTTGTGCAAAGTGCCCCTTTTTTCTAGAAAAATTGCAGAGCGAACTGCGTCCCGGACATTGGATACGACGATGAGACTCGCGGCCACAGAATCTGCTGGTGAGCATCTCTGCATTGGGACGGTCGAAAGAAGGCTTCACGTTTCGGTGATAGCGAACAGACTTCTGCGTATTTGTAGTGTCCATGCGCAAAGCGCTGCCAGCCTGCGACTGCCGCTTTTCTTTTTCCGCGTCTCCCGCCTGACGTACTAGCATCCAAGCTTCTTTGAGAGTGGGCTTAACGTTTCTGCATAGCTGGTCTCAAAGACGCAAGTCCTGCAAGCCGATGACGAATCTATCATGTACTAGCCTTTCTTCAACTTGCGCTGAAGGATAGGTGCAGCGTTTCACCAGCCTGCATAATTCCACATAGTACACGTCGATGTTTTCGCCTGGCTGCTGTACGCGTCTGTGAAAACGCGATGACTCATAGAGCTCATTACTAGGATGAACGAAGTGCTCAGTAAAACTGTCGACAACAGTCTTGTAGAAAGTGAGGGACGCGGCATCGAGAGAGAATGTATCGAGGAGCGGACACGCTTCGGGGCCCACGCATTATAAGAGCGAGCGCACCTGTGTTTCTTCCGGTGCATTCTTGAGTCGCGAGATGGCAGCTTAGTCCTCAAACCGGCTTTTCCACAACAGCCAGGTTACAGTGTTGCCGAAGTTGAATGGTTCCGGCGTCTGAAGATTGACACCCACCCATTTCGGGCTGCAGTGCTCGGTAGACATGGCAAGGACAATGGCTAAGCGCGACGTCGGGTCTCCACCACACTTCTGACACCATGTAGTGTTAACAGTTCACCAAGGACACTAACCAAGACAAAGCCTTAGCGAGCCTGAAGAAAGACAGCCGGTCCCCACTGAACCGAAATCAAATATCCTTTATTCTCCTTAGCCCAAATGCTTCACCGCTAGGAGAGGGCGCCACAAACCACCACAATAGTAGCGGCCTCTTCAGGTAGGTAGGTAGGTAGCTGGTAGGTAGTTAGGTAGGTCAGTTGGTAGATATATAGATAGATAGATAGATAGGTAGGTAGGTAGGTAGGTGTAGGGTAGGTAGGTAGGTAGGTAGGTAGGTAGGTAGGTAGGTAGGTAGGTTAGGAGGTAGGTAGGTAGGTAGTAGGTAGGTAGGTAGGTAGGTAGGTAGGTAGGTAGGTAGGTAGGTAGGTAGGTAGGTAGGTAGGTAGGTAGGTAGGTAGGTAGGTAGGTAGGTAGGTAGGTAGGTAGGTAGGTAGGTAGGTAGGTAGGTAGGTAGGTAGGTAGGTAGGTAGTAGGTAGGTAGGTAGGTAGGTAGGTAGGTAGTAGGTAGGTAGGTAGGTAGGAGGTAGGTAGGTAGGTAGGTAGGTAGGTAGGTAGGTAGGTAGGTAGGTAGGTAGGTAGGTAGGTAGGTAGGTAGGTAGGTAGGTAGTAGGTAGGTAGGGAGGTAGGTAGGTAGGTAGGTAGGTAGGTAGGTAGGTAGGTGGTAGGTAGGTAGGGTAGGTAGGTAGGTAGGTAGGTAGGTAGGTAGGTAGGTAGGTAGGTAGGTAGGTAGGGAGGTAGGTAGGTAGGTAGGTAGGTAGGTAGGTAGGTAGGTAGGTAGGTAGGTAGGTAGGTAGGTAGGTAGGTAGGTAGGTAGGTAGGTAGGTAGGTAGGTAGGTAGGTAGGTAGGTAGGTAGGTAGGTAGGTAGGTAGGTAGGTAGGTAGGTAGTAGGTAGGTAGGTAGGTAGGTAGGTAGGTAGGTAGGTAGGTAGGTAGTAGGTAGGTAGGTAGGTAGGTAGGTAGGTAGGTAGGTAGGTAGGTAGGTAGGTAGGTAGGTAGGTAGGTAGGTAGGTAGGTAGGTAGGTAGGTAGGTAGGTAGGTAGGTAGGTAGGTAGGTAGGTAGGTAGGTAGGTAGGTAGGTAGGTAGGTAGGCGGAAGGGTAGATAAGTAGGTAGGGTAGATGGTTAGGTAGGTTAGTTGGTAGGTAGGTATGTAGGTAGGTGGGTGGGTGGGTGGGTGGGTGGGTGGGTGGGTAGGTAGGTAGGTAGGTAGGTAGGTAGGTAGGTAGGCAGGCAGGCAGGCAGACAGGTAGATAGATAGATACGCTCAAAGCCGCTAAAGTTTACTAAGAAATGCTTCGTTTATTAAATAATTGAGGGGCTCTTTCCAGAGGGTAGATGAAGGCAAGTGAAGCTTGCCGTTTTTGTGCGTTACGTAGTGAGTTTCTTTTCAGAGTAACAGACTGGTGGGCAATTGGTGGGGGTTCATAATTATATATAGTGATTCATAAAACACAAGATACAAGATAAAGGCACTGATTTGTCTTACATGAGGGTGCACTGCTCAGTGACTCACGATTGAAAGCCAGTGCTAGAACGAATGCAAAAAGAGTGGGATGAAGACAGGACATGCACTTTTCTTTCTTTCCTGCTTGGAAGAGTACTTTCTTCAAAGATGCAGGAGGAGGGGAGGGAGCTGTGCTCTAGTGTCGTCTCTTAGTGAGGCTGTTCCTTATCTTCATACCAGCACATGCTCCCTCCCACTTCTTTCCCTTTAATGGAGTACTGAATAAATTTTGAAGGTGAGATAACTTGCGAGACAGATTTTTGTGCACTGACCCATCAGTATATAAATCAGTTTAAAAGTGCAAGTCACCGCACTGCATGCTAAAAGTGGCTTCGTTTTTTTGTAATATAAACAACCAGTCACCTCCCGCATCACGAGTTTTGTTTTGCCTGCCACAACCCTTGCAAGCACTCTCTCCTAGCCGACCATTTCAGCTGAAAGAGGGGGCGAACTTGCACAGGGTATGAAAGCTGGCATTTTAGCCTCGACAGTGCTTTTCTTGGGGAGTTCACTATATTTACTCCGCGAAAGAGATTATAGCAGCACCCAGAACATCTCCATTGAAAAGAGCTGTCGGTGTGGTGCTCATATGCAGGCGGCTTAATACTGAAAACGAGAATATAGCTTAGCGAGCTATATTTACATGAAAACCCAGCTTTTCCTTCCTCCAAGCAAAGACCCCTTTGGGCCCCGCCTATTTCAGTGCTCTGTGGAACAGAAACATCGACTGAGCACCATAAAGTCGTCTCCAAATAATTAACTATCTATCATATGCTAAAGAAATGGGCTTTCCAGCCACAATAAACAGGTTGTTAGCCACCTGTTGCAACAGAAAAAAAAGAAGATGCAACATTTTTTTTGCATGAGTGCTCCTTTACTAGATACCCCCTTCCCCTCACTACAGAGCTATGGCTATGCACCTGTCATTACGTCTTGCAATGTTTCTGCGGGTGGTTGTAATTAACAACTGGGCGTGGGGATGGTGGTATAAAAAGGGTTGTCATAATGGCTTCAACAACGCTCCACTGGCCGAGGAATCCTTTTTTTTTTTAATTCTTGCTTTGCTATCAACATGCCTTCTCGTGACCCTCAGCAGAACTTTGTTTTGTTCTCACTGGCTGTAGGTCAGATGCGTTTTAGCGAACCCCACCGACCTCTCATACCAGTTACTGCGGCTTTCCGAGAGCTTCAAGTGCCATGTCAGCAATCTTGTTAACATGCTTGCGGCCTGCCGTGCTGACCTGGCAATTGTATCATTCCTAGTGTCATGACCTCATAACTCTATTCACTATATATGTGTACCCACCAGAGGCTGTTACAGGCACATACTACGAATGGCTGCTCAGACATGAACAAGCTTTGACATCAATGCAACAACTCGAAAGGCCAGCACTAACAGACCACTTCAAATCGTTTTAGGGTCCTTGGAAGGCAGGCGTCACTGGATCATTTGTTCAAGAAATGCGGCACCTCAAAAGCCCTGGATGGACATGAAGATGGCTACACGAGGTAAGGTAACAGTGATAAAAGTACAATCAATATATTCTGACACACACATGTAGAACAGGCTAGTAATGCATGCGCTGACACTGAGATTGCAACCTGCATTTCATAAAATGTGTTCTATCTGGCACATAATACTCAGACCCTGTCATTTTCATTTGTGCATTAGGATGACAGGCAAAGTAGTGAATTCAATAAAACTACCTGCCTATTTCAATCATGCAAATACGGTAGTAAATGGCACACACCCAGCAACAAAAGGCCAGAATCAGACAACTACTTTTAGCATGTAAGCTTCAAATCGGCAGCCCAGAGCACTACATCATCTACTCAAGCTTTTGGCTCATGAGATGTTTGGACAGCACATACATGTACTTGTAGCAATGATCCACCAGCACTGCCACAGGAGGACCTTCTGAAGGACTGTGCTCATAAAGCAGCCCAGTGTAGCCATCTTCTCCAACAATCAGCTATAAAAAAAGAGTTCCTTTTTTTTGCTTGTATCTGTAGCATACAAAAATGTGTTTTATCGGAGCTAAATGTAAAACACAACGAAAACTTAAACAAGGAGTTGCACCTCACAATTAAATTATATGCATAATCTCTTCTTGAAATGGCCCCATCAAATCTTTGGGTTCCATCATTTCATGCTTTGTTCCGTGCCTGTTAAATCACTGGATGCAATAGTAACTGAGTGGCCAGAAAACAGCAACAAAGTAATAGCCTTAGTAAATACACAAGAAGCAGACTAAGAGTACAGCACTGTTTTCATCCCCACTTGAGGAACATTTGCAGGAAAGAGAGTAATGGTACCAGCTGCCGGGCACACACGCAAAGCGAGCATTTGCAGGATGTTTATACATATCATTGTTATCTTCAATCCATCTAGCATATACAAAATCAAGCAATACACATCATAACTTACGATCCTTTGCATTCAGATGCATTTAGCCAGCTTAATGGGCACAAAATTTTATTTGTTAAAAAAAATTATTTCAGTACAGCATAAGTATAATTTTCAATAGGTTACTTGATTTCCAGCTCTCATTTGAATATATTGAATGTAGCTCTCTCGTGAATATTAACACCACCAGGTTTGCTTCTAATTCTAATTACTTGCTACCACTCATTCACATGAACTATGGTAAGAAAACATCTAAATTCTCTACCATTCAAGTTTGAAATAGCTTGCCTGTTGAACCTAAATCTGCGCTCACATTTTCACTTTTCAAAGCATTCATAAAATCTTTCCTATTAACTGCTTATTACATTGCAATAGTTGCCTGTTGAACTTAAACTTGTCCCCATATTTTCACTTTTCAAGACATCAGTAAAATCTTTCCTTATAACTTTTGATTACATAGAAATACTTTGCCTATTGAACTCCCACATTTTCACTCTTCAGAAAATCCATAAAATCTTGCCTTTCAACTACTGATTGCTCACCTCTTTCGTTACCACGCCTATTGAAATCATCACCAGTGATCGACGCTTTTGGATCATAAATTTGGTTATGTTAAATTTGTTTCCCATGCACGCAGTACTTTTTATTGTAGTTAGTTCAGCCACTCAACTTTCAGAATGAATTTGAATTTCAGAGTCAATTTGAATTTGCCTGTTTTGGCAACATAGTGATTTTTGACAGACCTTTGCACAAACCGATGTGCGTGTATTATTGGAAAAGTACTGGTGAACTTGACAGAAGTGCGTGCCCCTCATGATTATGCTACAGTGACATCGAATTTATGCAATGAAAAGAACCTTTGCAAGCCTAATATCAAATTAAAGTGTCAGCTTCACAATTTAACTATGTTGAGCAGTAATAATTGCCAGAAATTTATGCCAGATATTCAATAGAGAGTTGTTCCCAGGAGTCCGGAAAGATTTGTTCTAGAAAGAATAATAACGTTGGTCCGTCGTGCATTTAAAGTGTCGAGGTGGCCTTCTCTGACAGTTTCCATCTGCTTTGGTTTCACTTGCATTGTTATATCAGACACAGGGTTACATCTAGTGTCACTAGTCGCTCCTATGACGTCGTCGTTACGCACGCATGGGTGCGCACCAGTGCTGCAAAACACATTCGCTGCTCGAAACTGTCTTGCAACCCCACCAAATTGAGTGAGGATTAGCTTAGAGTGTGAGCATGACAGCATCTCAGCTTCAAGCTTTATGGCGACAATGTTTTGTGTGATCCTGAGATATCCGCAGTCATTCATGAGTTTGTTTTATTCACATCCTCAAGTTGCCTCCTCCACCACAAGTGCATATAGCTACTGACCTTTGTGAACAATCTTAGAGCTACCCTGGTTACGTGCGTTGTCCACAATTCGCTGGAGCGCAGTGTGCTAGGGCTGGCTGCGCAGCTTCTCCTAAAGGCAAGACGGCCCCTGGAGCACATCTTGGCCCCGACTACGGAGCAGTGCAATACATTTCAGAACTGCAGGCGATATTGGCTTTTTTTTTAAACGATATGCGCAAAAATTCAAAGAAATATGCTTATATGCATATACTGGAACAGCAACCTATGCAGAGTGAGGTGGCTCATGAAAAGAGGTGATGCTAGATGAAATAGCGAAGTTCATTGGACACCTCTTTATAAAGGGATTATTCACATCACAGGTATCTGTCTATATTGGTCCACCTGGAGACCCTTATAGCAAAACAACAAAAATTTACTGAGAAAACTGTACGAGTACACTTGCATCTGATGAAAAACGATGCAATGCTTCACCACATGGCATGAGCAACGAAGCAGCACTACGGTTCTGATCTTGTTAGTCCATGTGAAGAGAAACATTTTGTACAACATTCATTATTTTTTATACTGTTCCTGGGTCATATTTTTTGCAAATAGCATTTCATTGGGCAAAGTTTGGTATGCTGCAATGCGTGCTGGAGCACTTTTTAAACTGCCCAAAACAATCTTCCCGAGACATATGAAGAACAACTATTTTCGCGTGGTAACGAAAGAGTTAATGTATATAACTTTTTTTTTTCACTAGCTCACACTTCTGTTATTTGCATTTACTTTTGTGTCTTATATAAGTTGTTTTCATCATTATTTTTTTCATTTCTTTGTACACTTGTTCTACTATAATTCAGTATTAATTTTTGCATTGTCTTTCACTTTCCATTGCATTGCATATTATATTTTACATTTTGCTTTTTATTTCATTGTATTGCTATTTTATATTTCATTTTGTATTTACTTGTTCTAGCACGTCGCTGCTTGTTTTGCCTTGTGTATGATTATTATTACCATCTGCTAATCTTCTGAGTTTTTAATTCACTTTTATTGTGGTTTTTAATTGAGGGTCTCGTTTACAGTATTTATACTCTGGGACCCTCATCTGTTTATAAGTATTATGTAATTGATGCTTATATAACCAATAAACTGAAACTGAATACACCTTTGCACAGAACCCACTATGAGTGAACCATATTCACTTTCACGGAGGCAACAAAATTCATTTGGAAGTCTCCTAAGCCCATATTTTCTCAGGCCTCCAAAGTTAGCAATAACAACCGCAAAATCCCAGATATTTGTGACACCAGTTTGACGAAAGACTGCTTGGATTTTTCCATTTAGAGCAGCAGGAGTTGATCTGTTGTTGATCGACTGCAATTTGCACTTCTTTGAGGAATCCATTTTCCCCCTTGATGAAGGTAGCTCTTATTTACATAGTGGGCACACTGATTTTCTATTGTGAATTTAAACCTACGAGAGGAACATTGTCTTTTTTTTTGCAATTTATACTGTAGGAAATGATTATGACGCTTCTTGCCGTGACCAGTTCTCAAGAAAGGTGTCATAGACTGATGCCCTGTTACGTATGGCCCTAGAAGTTATCATGGCAGATGCCATTGTGCATGGACCTGTTGGCCACAAAGTTTTTCTTAGGGGTCATTGCTTGGATTAGAGTGATAAACGGCAGGCTTTCCTGGAAGATACTTATGCCCCTGTGACACGTGATTGGGCGAGTGAGGCAGCCTTATAGTGAAACTGCACTGCTGGAGAGGTTTACATCGAACCAGGGCACGTATTCACCTGAACGCAGACATAGATGCTTGCAGGTGCACAAGACCACTGCTGCCATCTCCTCCAAAAAATGCCAACAAACAGCATACAGCATACAGAAAAAAGCAGGATAGTTACTATGTATAGTTATAGCAATTTGACATAGAACAACAAACTTTGCAAGCAACATACACATTGTTATTAGATTATCCCTGCAAATTAGTTACAGCATTTCCAGTGCAAGTGTTCCAGCGTCAATCTGCAAGGCAGAGTTGCAAAGACCGTGAAGGAAAGCCTTAAAGGACCTGTAAACCACCTCCAATATTTCTTCAAACATTTTAAGTAAACACGTGCATAGTGTGCAGAATACCGTCGCGATCAACGATTTTACACGTGGTAGCACTATGGGTCGCCGGCACGCCACGAATTTCAAGGAACAATCCCTCCTCTCCGGGTCTTTTGGGCCTCCGCGTGACATCGAAAAGTTGAATCTTTGACTCACAGCACATATATGCAGTAGTTAATCAAGCAAGAGCCTACGACTTACGGTTAGTCTGCAAGCAGCTGTCCGCGCTGCTTGTTCTCCGTCGTGTTGCACACGTGCGTGCGCACACTTGCAAATCAGCTACTGCGGCTCGTAACAGAAGGTTCATACCAGCATGATTCGTACAAGCAAGGGCCAGCATGGCAGCAGCGGTTCGCCAAAAAACATGCAGCCATCGAATTCGATGGAGGGGCGGAGTCACAGTAACCAGAAGTACATGGTGTTTCGAGCAGCGCATCAGTGATGACTTATGTCATGTGTGATTTGTTGATTGATATGTGGGGCTTAATGTCCCGAAACCACCATATGATTATGAGAGATGCCATAATGGAGGGCTCCGGAAACTTTGACCACATCGCGCATGATTGGGAGAGGCACTCAGCAAGAGGGCAAAGCGGCTTTGGAAGAGGATAGAAACTGAGGGTAGCGAAGAAAAGAGCGAAAGGAGTGATCAGCGCGTTTCGTTAATCAAACATGTCTCTCTGCTACTACGGCACCACTTCGAAAAATTCTCACGACCCAATGGCAAGTTGTACACTTGCACACAACTTCACCACCACCACTGAATTTAGACTTCTGAGTGGTTTAGGGGCCCTTTAAAGAGGCCCTCCATCATGTTTTCACCAGTGTCAGAAAGTGCTGCCTTAACGTAGTCGAAGCTACTAAAGACAGTGTTTCCATAGGTAGTGTTTTCTGATGCGAGCCAAGCATTATAGCACAGCACGTGGCCTGGGATTTACAATTAATTTTCAAAGTCAGCTAGAAATTGTTCTTCTTCTTCATACAAATGATCCCATGTACCCAAAGTCACAGCCAATGGCTGATTTGAGCACCATGAGCTGCATAGTTACTAAGGCCGCCACAGGAGGCCGCCCCATGTGCTCATGCACTCACAATTGCACTGCAAGTATACCTTGCATCCGAAGAGAGAAAAAGAAAAAATGCTCAAGGACATGATGTATACAGCGATTTAACTTCTTCCCCTCGTGCCATTCCTACCACCTTAACTTCCAGCATCCTCATCGGGAAGAGAAAAAACAACTACAGCATGCAACCAATCTATATACAACTCCACTCGTACTCGACAGATTATAAAAATTTTTGTGGTAGTCAATTTGTCATGTAACAAACGCCTTAAAAGCCATTTGATAGTTACCTGACAAAGTATTACAAGGCCTCTTTAAAGGGGCCCTGCAATACTTTTCCAAGTAATTGCCTAATGGCTTCATTAAATGAGCTTATTGCCTCATAAATCAAATGCTACAAAAAATTTTTGAATCTGTCAAGTACAAGAGAAGTTGCAGGAGTTTGCCTCTTTCTTTAGGAGCTTTCTCACTCCTTTCGTAGCACAGTGAAAGCAATGCAGCGATGGGGGATGATAAGGGCACAAGAAGGTGCACCCTTGAGCACTTTCTTTTCATTTTTCTTCCAAACGCACGGCTTGCTTTTAATGTGATCACGCGCACGCACGTGGCACATGGCACATCTTGCAGTGGCCGCAGTAACTATGCAGTTCACGGTACTCAAAACCGCCAACGGTTGTGGAATTTCGGTATATGATGCAGTGATTTGGGTATATGGCATCATTCAGAGAGATAGGTGAGAGTGATTTTTAGCTGACTTTAAGAATTGTAAATTCCAGGCCACGTGTTCCACTACAACATTTGGCTTGCGTGTTCTTCAGAGCCGCGACTACCGATCAGCAGTGCGTTTTCACCATGCTGAAAAAGTGTTGCATGGCCCAGTCACCTCTGACTACACCTTTTTGTTATAATAACTAGGGACATTCAGTCAAAAAAGAAAAAAGGGTACCTGAACGGTTTTATCACACCAGCGATTTGCAGCATTTTCCCCACTTCTACCTCCAAGAAGCATTTGATAAGCACAGGCCACTTCATAAGGTTCCTTTTGCTTCAGCTTTTGATCAAGACACACCACAAGGATGGCTTTTTTAATAGATTCCAGAGATTCCACATTCCGAGGATCTACAGCAAAAGGCATAGCAGGGTTCAAGCAGGGAATGCCCTTACAATGAATGAAAACATCTCCTTAGCAATTATCAAGAAATACAACACCAACAGACACATTTCTGCTCTATTTGCTAAACGTGTATTCTAACACTATTATAAAGTGCCTGCTGTTTCGATGTCCTTGGCCTACTACAATTCCCTTGTTTCCAATGAAGATGAGTGCACAAAAGGGCAATTATTAATGTACTAGCTGACAAAAAGTGTACTTGTGTATTTCAAAAAAATATTCAATTAATCATTTCTTTATGGCATGAATATTCGCAATGTGCTCATAATTTGTTATCAAACTTAAAAGTGGTAAGTGCATGGAACAATGGTGTACTTCTCAAGTCACCTGTATACGTGCATGCCTATATTTTTTTGTTTAATAGCTCACTCTAAATTAATTAAATATTGTTAATTATTCAGTTTTATTCGATAAAATAAATGGTTTATCGGGTTTACCTTCTCTGCCATGATTACAGAAGCAGCTTACCATTCAATGTTGTGGTTACTAGATATGCAGTGATACACCACGGTGTTTGAGTTTGTGACAACTTTAGTTATCTTATTTTGATGTTGCTGTATCTTTCATTTGAAGTTTGCGAAGTTGGGTCACATTCCTGCAAGGTGTCTGGTAGATATATTCCCCTGGCAAGTTCGAATTTTTCAAAAGATGTTTTCAGTACATACTTTGTGTTTCTAATATACAAACACAATTCTATTAAAACAAATTTAAAGTATTAGAACCCTACCATTCACAAAAAAAAAATTGCAGTCACAAACACCAGCAAAAGCCTACCTGTAAAAGTGACATAAACTCTTTTTTCAACACCAATAACGAAAGCCTTTTCTAAATGATGTCTTCATAGAAAATGCAGAAGAAACAATAAAACTTTAATCGCAAAAATTTCTCGTTCTAGACGCAGTGAAACACATACAAGGACACTTAAAATGACACGAATATTAGCGGAGAGCTTGCCAAGTGTGGGTAGAGGTAGCCAAAGAAGAGAAGCACAGCATACTTTTATTGGGTTCTAGCAGCCACATCAATGAACCAAGAGACAGTGGAACAAGGGAGAGCAAAGGGTAATAAATAGAATGCGCTATCAAGAATGAAATTTCATGATTTCAGCCCAACATGAAAAGAAGACCAGAAATGTTCCACAGAAAACAAGACATGCAATAGTTCTACCTTCTCCGAGAAATTTTTGGTCTTTTCTTGCCCTAAAAACACACAGGCATTAATTTAAGACATCAACTACCCTAGTAAAAAGCTCCTCTGTGATATCAAGGACTAACATAGATAGACGGCACAAAAGGCAGTCGGTACAGATATTGTTTTACACAACCACAAGAAATAATAACTGAAGCCTGGGAATGTGCCATGCCATGGCATGTGGGAAAACCCGACATAAAATCCAAACAGCAAAAGAAGACTAGTAATCAGATAAAACACGAGAACCCATCCAGATTTTTTTTTACTTTCCAAAAGCAATAAAATGACACAAGCAATATTTTTTTTCAACTACATTACAAGAAGAAAACCAACTTGAGCTAACCTTACATATTTTTTACGTTCTAAAGATGGCCCCAAAATTGGCAGTGAACCTTTACTTCTCATGTCATCCTTTTCATGTCTTGCATAAAAACTTTCCTGAAGAAGTTTTGTCACAGAATGTTTAACGTAAAATTACTGCCAAGTTTCTACATTTTATTATGATGGGGATCCCCCATTTATAAGTTTCATGCTATTTTGAATTTTGCTTACCTAAAGCACAGTAATGCTTATAAAAAATATAGGTGCATACAGGACTATGAGAGTAGTGCATACTACATTAACAATCTATTCATAATTTGTTATCAGACTTGACACAAATAATTAGGAAATAGCCATAAGAGCCTGGCAAACACCAACATTAAGCAGATGATGATGATGTTTGATGCTTTGTGGCGCATGGGCCATTTCACGGCCAAAGAGCGCCAGTTCATCTTACTAAAAATATGGACAATGATTGTGATAAGCGGCTGTATAAGGGCCATAAAATTCCTCGCGGTAAGGCGGGTAAGAACATACAAGTAATAAAATCATGATCATGCCGTGAAAGGTGCGTGTGGTGTGAACAGATGACAAAAGTTGGTGATAATAAAAGACGATGGTGGATATGTATGGCATTAGCACAAGTGCCTCACTCGTTCATACCCTTGCGTCCAAGGGCCGTGAAGCAAGTGCTTTCTTGTGTAGCCACCGCAGCAAAAACCTCTCTGGAGAGGTCGTGCTACGGAATGCCCGGGTATATATGAAAACTATGAATTTCTTTTAAAAACTCTAACAATGATTTATGACTAAAAAGCGGTTCCCTACCGACGAACATTGCAGGGTGTAAAGGTATATGTTGTCGGTAGGGTAATGGAAAATGTTGTTTTCTTAGAGTTTCTAAGTGTTTGCACTGGATTAGTATGTGAAGGACTGTTAATGCTTTACCACATTTGTCACACAATGGTGGATCGTCACCAGACAAAAGATAAGTGTGTGTCGCGTATGTGTGTCCTATCCTTAGTCTCGTTAGTATTATATCTGTATGACGCGATTTCGATACGGGCAGCCAATGACCAAGGTGTGGCTTAATAACGTGTAGTTTGTTTTGTGTGTGTGTATCCCACTTGCTCTGCCAGTATACCCTGAGGTTTCGTTTCAGAGACGGCTTAAGATCAAGGGCCGGGATCGATATGGGTGTAGGGGCAGTGATTTTGTGGACGGATGCAGCGAGCTGATCCGCCCTCACGATGCCTTGAATCTCACGGTGCCCTGGCACCCAGCACACTACAACATGTTGTTTGAGTGTGTAGAGTGTGCACATAATGGAGTAAAGTGAGACAAGGACTGGGTTTTTGTGTTTTTTAAGAGTGTGCAGAGCCGTTACCACATGAGGGAGTCCGTATAAATTACTGCTTTTTGTATTTGTAATTGCTTGATGTGTTTAGCCGCCACAAGTATCGCATAAGCTTCCGCTGTGAAGATACTTGTGTCTGGATGTAGAGGGCCAGCATCCGAAAAGGATGGGCCGACAGCAGCGTAGGACACAGAGGAGTTAGACTTGGAGGCATCTGTAAAGAACTCAGGACGTGTGTATTTGTGTTGAAGTTCCAGGAAGTGTGTTCGGATATGGGCAATAGGCACATGTTTTGTAACTTCTAGAAAAGACACATCGCAGTCTATAGTCTGCCATTGCCACGGTGGCGGGTATGCTACAGGAGCCGTTAAACTGTGTTCAAGTGAGACTCCAGTTTCCTCAGCTAGACTCTTCAGGCGAACTGAGAAGGGCTGCCTCATTGAAGGCCTGTTTTGAAACAGAATTGAGCTCGACAAATCATTAATAGTTAAGTATGAGGGGTGCTTCTTGTCTGCTTTTACCTTAAGTAAATAAACAAAGGACATGTAAGTTCTATGCAGATGAAGCGACCACTTATTTGACTCAACATAAAGGCTTTCTACGGGGCTAGTGCGAAAAGCACCCGTAGAAAGGCGGATGCCCAAATGGTGCACGGGGTCCAGCATCTTCAAAGCACTTTGAGTCGCAGACTGATAAACAACGGCCCCATAATCTAAGCGGGTGCGAATGAGGCTTCTATATAGGTTCATGAGACATTGCCTGTCACTACCCCACCTAGTACGTGACAACACTCTTAAAACATTCATGGCTTTTAAACATTTTATTTTTAGATACTTGATGTGCGGTACGAAGGTCAACTTGTTGTCCAAGATTAATCCTAAGAATTTATGCCCCGTATTAACAGACAGACGTTGACCGTTCAGTTCAATGTCGGGTTCTGAGTGCATGCCTCTCTTTCGGGAGAACAAGACACACGTGCTTTTTTGTGGGTTCAGTCGGAATCCGTTTTCCTCTGCCCATTTGGAGACCTTGTTTAAACCTAACTGAACCTGCCGCTCACACATTGCCAGATTGCAAGATCTAAAGCCAAGCTGGACGTCATCGACATATGTACAATAAAACATATTGCGAGGAATGGACAAGCGCAAGGAATTCATTTTGATGAGAAAAAGTGTGCAGCTAAGTACACCACCTTGTGGCACGCCTGTTTCCTGGACAAATAATTGGGAAAGAACCGTGCCCACTCGGACACGTAATGTCCGGTTTGACAGGTAATTTTCGATTATGTAAAACATTCTTCCCCGCACGCCAAGATGGGACAGGTCTCTTAGAATTCGAAAACGCCATGTTGTATCATAAGCCTTTTCGATATCGAGGAATACAGAGAGAAAATATTGTTTATGGACGAAGGCGTCCCTGATCTGTGCCTCAATATGAACAAGGTGGTGTGTGGTGGATCTACATTCTCGAAACCCGCACTCAAATGGGTCGAGCAAATTGTTTGTTTCAAGGATACGTACAAGTCGGCAGTTTATCATTTTTTCGAAGACTTTGCACAAGCAGCCTGTAAGTGCAATAGGCCTATAACTCGAAGATAAAGAAGGGTCCTTGCCCTGTTTCGAAATGGGAATAATAATAGCCTCTTTCCAGGAGGTAGGGATAGTGCCAGAAAACCAGATAGTATTGTACAAACAAAGTAAGGTTTTTCGTGTTTCGATTGGTAGGTTTTTTAACATTTCATACACCACACGGTCAGAACCTGGGGCCGAAGTACTGCAGGAGTTCAGAGACGTTCGCAGCTCAGCTAGACTAAAAGCTTGGTTATATGCCTCGTACCTAGTGCATTTGTGTTCGAGTTTCTGCTTTTCTATTCTTGTTCTGTATTTTTGGAAAGTGTCAGTATAGTGGGATGAGCTGGACACCTGTTCGAAGTGTGCACCGAGGAAGTTTGCCTGATCTTACAAGGTATCGCCCTGAGTGTTTACGAGTGGAAGTGTGTGTACTTGTTTTCCTGCTATCCTACCGACCATGTTCCAGACTTTAGCCTCCTTTGTGTATGAACTGATCCCTGACAAAAACTTCTGCCAGCTTTCCCTTCTGGCCTGCCGACGCGTTCTCCTTCCTTGAGACTTTATTTTCTTGAAAGTGTCGAGATTTTCGGCTGTCGGTGAGTTCCGAAGCAGCCTCCAAGCTCTGTTTTGCTGTTTGCGCGCGTTTCGGCATTTAGAGTTCCACCATGGCACACGCCGTTTTCCAGGGTGTCCATTTGTTTTAGGGATGCATTTTGTTGCAGCATCAATCAAAAAGGCTGTGAAGTAGTTGACAGCAACATCAATGTTCAAAGTACATATGTCATTCCAACCTAGACGAGCGATGGTATAAAACTGTTCCCAGTCGGCTCTATTTATGAGCCACTTGGGAACACGTGGTGGGCACTCAGTTACTGTAGTTGTGCTCAAAACTACGGGGAAGTGGTCACTTCCATACAGATTACTGACGACATTCCACTGGAGTAGAGGCACAAGAGATGGAGATGCTATGCTTAGGTCTATGAAGGAGTAGGTGTTATTAGCGAGATTATAATAGGTTGGTTCTTTTCGATTCAGGAGACACGCACTCGACGAGAGAAGGAACTGTTCGATCAGTCGACCTCGCGCGTCATACCGAGAGTCACCCCATAGCCTGCTATGCGCATTAAAGTCTCCAAGGAGAACATAAGGCTCCGGAAGTTCATCAATTAGAGAGTGTAAATCACGTTTTTGCATCTGATAGCTAGGAGGAATGTAAATAGTGCAGATTGTGATCAGTTTATCAAAAAGAACTGCTCGAACAGCCACTGCCTCAAGGGATGTTTGGAGTTGTAAGTGTGTGCATGCAATTCCTTGATTCACTATGATGACAACACCTCCGGATGATGTCATGGCATCAACACGGTCCTTTCGGAAAATAACGTATTTACGAAGAAAATTTGTGTGTTTTGAATTAAGGTGTGTTTCTTGTACACACAGCACTTTTGGTGAGTGTTCGTGTAAGAGTTCTTGGATGTCGTCAAGGTTTCTGAGAAGGCCCCTGACGTTCCATTGTATAACTTGAGTGTTCATGATGAATGTAAAATAGTGCTGTGTGTACGAAAAGCGAGTGGCTGTTTAGACAGGGAGTTTGAGTTCACTTAACAGGGCCGTCACCAGGCCCTGTGATTTGCTTTTTTGTTTTCTTGGCGCGCTCCAAGGAGCCACGCCGCTCTTTCGGTACCAAGGGTACCGATGTATAAATTGCCTCCTCAGAGGCACTTGATGCCCGCACGTGCGGGCTGTTAGTACGAATTTCGGGCCTCGCCTGGTGAGGTGAGGCCTTGAGACCCGAGGACTCTGGAGTCTCCTGTCTCTGTTTGGGAGTAGGCGGTGTAGCCTGGGCTACAGCCGCCTTGGGGGCAGGTGCCACAACTACCGGCTCGGTATGCGCGGGCCGAAGGTGTGGCGAGGACTGGTGCGGCGGTGCCCCCTGACGCGCCGCATCAGCGTATTTAGGTCCATAGAATGGAGCGACTCTTCGCCGTGCTTCCTTAAATGTAATGTTCTCCTTCACCTTCAATGTAATTATTTCTTTTTCTTTTTTCCATTATGTGCAGGAGCGTGAATATGTGGCATGGTTTCCTTCGCAGTTTACACAGTGTGGCGGTTGTTTGCAGTTCTCAGACACGTGGCCTAGGACTCCACATTGTGCACAAGTCTGGCGACCACGACAGGTTTTAATGGCCATACCTCTGGCACTGGAAGCAACGACGAGGGTTTGGTATGTACGGCCTGATAGATGTCTTCGTGTACCCTGTTTGAATAGATTCCGGTAGTTTACTGGATGCAAACGTGAGTATCAAGTGTTTTGTCGGTGTTTCCTTATTATCTTTTCTGATGACGATTCTCTGTACATTAGTGACATTTTGGCTCTTCCACCCCTCCAAAAGTTCAGTCTCAGTCAAGTCAATTAAGTCCATGTCAGATACCACTCCGCGAGTTGTGTTCATTGATCTATGTGGTGTTATGGTTATTGGTATGCCACCGAAATCTGAAAGACGGTCTAGCTTTTCAAATTGTTCTTTGTCGCGGATTTCGAGGAGAAGGTCTCCACTAGCCATTTTGGTTACCTTGTATCCTGTGCCAAGAGTTTCGGTGAGACATCTAGAAACAAGGAAACGAGAGACGGTCCTGGCTTGCTTTTCAGTTTTTTCACAGTGGATAACATGAAAGTGAGGATATGTTTCTTTTGGCTGGTTGAAAAAATTTATATCATCGGTGCGTACCCGCTTTAAGCCGGTACGATCAGACAGTAGGGGGAATGCTCTATGCATGCCTTTCTTATTTTTGTTCAGCAGCGTTGGCGGCCACCCACCACGGAGCCCAACGAGGGGACGCTACAAGTTTACAGATGCTGAAAACTGCAGACGCCAGCCGTACAACGCCACTATAACCCAATGCGCCTAGACCAAGGTAGGCTATTTGCACAGGGTTAACCCTAGCCGCCAGGAAGTTTGGAAGTAAACGGAAGAGAGTAGAAGACAGGACAGATAAATAGTAAGAGATAAAGACGAAGATGTAGGGAGAGAGAGATAGGATAAGGCGACTGCCAATTTCCCCTGGGTGGGTCAGCCCAGGGGTGCCGTCTACGTGAAGCCGGGGCCAAAGAGGTGTGTTGCCTCTGCCGGGGGGCCTTAACGGTCCAATCACCCAGCGTCGGCTCAACCCCCAGGATCCCCTTTTCCCCGGACACGGCAAAGCCACGCACGGCTAGGCGTGGGAAGGAGTAGAAACTCCCCCGTTAGCTCGGGTCCGTGGTGTCACTGCACACCAAACGCCTGCTTGCGCAGGCGCCCCTGCGGGGAACATTAACCAGGAGAGATCAAGCTAGCACATTCAAGGTAAGCACATTACATACTTCTCTACACAATAATGTAATAGAAGCAAATAGACAAGGTGGTGTGTTCACCTTAAGCGTTAACCCTTTGTATCACAGTATCCACATATGTGGACAAAACATACAAGTAGATCAGGCTTACCAGCGCAATGCCTTTAAGATCAATTTAAAATGACGGCATTACTTTAGCATTCTTTGAAAACACCTATATGAGTCAACTTCTGTAAACAAACAACAGTAAGTGCACACAGAACAACAGTGTTCTTCTCAAGTTGCCTGCATACATACGTGTATGCCTACATTTTTTTCTTCAATAGCTCATTCTAAACTCATCAAAAAAAATTAGTTATGTAGCTTTATTCGAGAAATGAAATGGTTTATGGGGTTTATCTTGTTTTCGTGTGAGTTTTGCTGCACTGTGAGGGAACTAAGTTTTGTGAGTTGAGTTGTCACTGCAGTGCCCACTTTGTGGGCACCAGGCATACTGATTTTGTGCAAGAAGCAGATGGGATGATGCATGGCAGTAAGACTCACTTCATTTCAGTGCTGTTCTACACAAAATATTATCTTTAATATAGCTCAATATGCCTTTTAAAAGTTAATTTTAGAATTAATTTGCCTCATTTAGTTTTCGAGTAAGTGACGAAGACGCACATGCCATAACTTTTTAGCTGACTAGAGGAAGTGAATGCTCAATAACAAGAAAATGCCTCTTGAATGATGCTACTGCTAATGATGAAAGCATTCTGTTTGAACGTAACCATGAATGCAGCGGTAATGATCATCTATGACCATAAACATGATGACGAACACATTGAAGTAAATTTGTGGGCAAGCAAATGGACCTTGAATGGCGATAACGATAGCGATGATCGAAGCACTAAACATGAGGGAATTAACATGTTAATGATAGGTATAATAAACGATGATGAAAGTGCTGAATCAGAGCTGTTGGCAAGCGGCCACATGACTGTTTGTGATGATGATGATGATATTAACGATGAACACGTTGAACTTATGATGAAGGTATCGAGTATGGCAAGTAGTGATGAATATAATAAATACTGCGGCGAAACATAGCCGTCAACGAGCAATGTTTTCATGTACGATGCACTAGAATGATAGACCTAGTTTAACTGATTTTCCCAGCGTCCACGTGTGTGGACACTTGTTTTCTTCTAGAAATAAAGCTCCTGCTCGTTCCCGTGGTGCCTGAAGGGGTCACTGCAACGAGGAGGAGCGTACATCGAATTCTCATGGCTTTCCTGCGAAACACTGCGCTGTGTGACATTTGGTAATGGACCCCTACAATTCAGGAGATGCTCAGGTGGAACAATTGCCGGCTATTAGGCCAGGATAACCCCACCTGTTGCAGCACCACCACAACAACCAACACCATCACCACGACACATATATTACTGTCGCACCTTTCTAAAGAATTCCTCATACCACTTTTTCCACTTAAGATATTATATTTGAGCTTTCATTCCATCTACACACAGAAAAAGCAAAACAACAGCAAATTCAAACTGTAACAGAGCTATGATGACTTCAACTTGTAAATGCCATAGCAGGAAAAGTACAAAAAAAAAGGACTACTTACTTTTGCAAAGATGCTCAAATGCTTTCGCCCAGTTGTCTCTGTGCTCAGTTGTCAGTACGCCAACTCCAGCACCAGCACTCACTGACATATTTACCACCTTACGAAGTAGCTCGAGAATTTGGTGCTCATCATATGGATTTCCTTGGCTATCATAAACATCAACTGCGAAAAACTGGTACAAGACCATACCGTATCAAGGTTGTTAAATTAAATGCGTACAAATCTCACACCTATGTTTTATAGGTTCTAATACAAGAACCAAGGCAAAAGCTTTTCCACAAAAGTGTAGTTTGGTTATGTTGATCCTAAGCGACAATAAGCAAAACATTGTGCCCCCTCAAGACTCTATATATTAATGGGAAAATTGACAACATAAAAAATCCTACAAGAATATGCCAACAAAGATACATGTGTTTGCTTTGACAATGCTGCTGCTCCAAAGTAACAAGCAGCTATGTCATTGATTTACGGTGCATTCACGTTTCATAAGGCACTTTAGTGAGGCACAGAGGGCAAAACCAAGTCCACTGGCATCCCTGTGCATTAAGGAATTCACATGTATTCAATCCCAGCTGTAACAGCAACATACGCTGCTCTGTAGGTGAAACAATTATGTATTTTGGCAACTAACACAGTCATATCTGCACTTTTGATGATGTTAACAGTAGTAGAACTGAAGATTAAGCTTTCTTATGAATTTTTTTTAGGTACAGTGCCTTTCTTCTCATGCCAAATACTATTACATTATTTTGCAAAAGCTCCCCCCACAAAAAAAACTTCCATACCTCATTGTTGTGCACGATGAGCACATGTTTAGGAGGGTTGTTACTCAGAAAGTAAGTTTCCAAGCTATCCTGTTTATCACCTGGGACACGACATGTGCTGAAAATTTTTTGGTACTGCAACATGTCCAAAGGATGCTTGCCCATCATTTCTGGAGCCAGCTGTTCCCTAGCCAAGAAAACAAAGTTTTTTTTTGTGTGTTTAAGCTGTTCCTTTATGACAACCTCAAAAGCACAGCAAAGCAACACAACTTAGACAATATTTGACATGAATATTGTTTCCAGTATTTCTTTAGATGAGTGTAAGAAATTTTCCATTTGGCACTATGCTGATTCTGTTCATCAAAATCCCCCAGAATTGCAAGGTTACCAACAGCCAGTGAGGAAATAGCGTACAATCGTAGTCTCTGAGAATGCTCAAGCCAGTACTTATACCATTCTTCTTTTGGCAGCTTATTTGCAACCAGAGAAAGAGATAGAGAGTGTGTTGAGGTGTGCATGTGTGAGGCTTCTGAAGCCTCATCTCGCTTACAGTTGACTAAAACCAAAAGAAGAGGTGCATCAGATTCACCCAATATTGCTGGAACATGTCGTCATTAACAGTAAATGCACGGGGCTTAAGGACTCAGCTTGCTGTTATATCTTAAAAATTGAAGAAAAAAAAAACAACAGATCTATCTTTCTATTCTAGTTCTTGTATGCCAAAGAAGGTGTCATAATATATATGCAATCAGATTTTACTAGTCATAAAAAATAAGTGACAAAATTAACTTTACTGATTTTTGCCCCATGCATGAATAATCACAAGCATCATAGCAAAATGCATAAAACAAAGACCAATACATACAAAATCAATACCTATCCCTCAAAACAAGGCATGTGTTACAGACAGTACTAATACTATTTCACAATTTCAAAGCATATGTGCAACCAGAGCAGAAAGTGCATATTATTGAGTATTGGTTGCTAGGATATATTGTCGCGCCACTATGTGGAGGCATCCCTGTGACGTGCTGGGTTGGATTGCTCCACCAGTCCCCTCTCCCGCAGCCGCTCTCAGGTCTCCATTTTTTTTTTATTACTGTTCTCGCTGTACTTCACTTCAACGAACTCAGTAAAATACTAGCTGCTGCAGGTTTTTCAGTAACTGCACGGAATGCTAAATAACTGCTTCAAAAAAAAAATATTACGATTCTCATATTGCTTGACTGCCAGTGGCATCTGTTGTGGCCACCTGTATGAAAACCACAGGAGCCGAGTGTGCTGCTCTAGAATAGAAGCATCAAACGGGAATTAACGCGTGCTTGCGGCGAAGAAACATACTTTTCCAGCAAGAAATGAGTGTAACCGTGCTACTTCATTCATTGTAGTTTTGCATCTATAAAGTTGTGCATGCTTGACGTCACAAGCATGCACAAACTTATTCCTGTTTAATTAAAATAGCCCTACAGAGCACAGCACAAGCAGATTCCCTGCTTTGTGGGAAGCAAGCCAACATTCTGCGTGCAGCCGCAACCTTTCTGTTATGACTGTGGGAGAATGCAAGAGCTTTTTTCGGAGTTGTAGCTAGGTAAAACTTCACAAGAGGAAAAGTTTGTCTGTGGCACAATCTTAATATTTATAGCACAGATTTTCTACCATTGTCACACGACACACGTTTGATCGCCATCGAGCCACACAAGGGCAAAAATTTTGAATGACTGGCTCAGCTCTGCAGTTTCTACGAAGGGTTAAATCATGATCAAAAAATGGGATCTTGATCTGCGTCGATCACACTAGCAAGTGCGCTGTGTACAAGCCGGCCATATTGCTTTGCACGCTTAAATGAGCATGCTGCGAGGCCTTGCTTACCATGATCTAAATGGCAATTTCATGTTTCAGTAAAAAAACTAGTGTCCACTTTCAACAGCTTCACTCATAAGATATGACATTTCACGGCAGGTGTTAGAAGGTGCATCAGCTTTCAAAATTGACCACGTTTACGCCTGTAGCTCAAACCAACATAGAGAAGAACAAGTGACAGTGGCTACGGCCCCATTCCACAGACGTAATGTATAAGTCACAAGTCACTGACGGAAACTCATGAGGTTGTGAACACACATGAGGGCAAGTATCACAGACACCCGGGGAGGGGAGGACGACTGTGGTAAAAAATACCTTGGCGAGACAAGTAGCGTTTAGCAAAGACCCAGGCGGTGCATATATGATATAAGAAAGAAGGTTTCGTCGAACACACTGGCCGAACACGCAGAAGAAACTAGCCACGAAATAAACTGGAATAAGGCAGAGATAGTGGAAACGGAAAAGAACAGGACTTCTAGGTTTCATCTTGAATCTCTCACAATTCAGGCAACAGTGTATGTTCTTAAATGTAACGACATCAACCTCCCCCACACGTATGCATCAACGTCATATTGTAAAATATACATAACCGGACTGTTTGCACATTCATTTTTTGTTGCAATAAACGAGGCTTCCATGTGGAAACTGAAACATTCTGCTTTTATGTGAACATTCGTGGTCGGTGCTCACATTAACCCATGGCCTTTGAATAACAACCACAACAGTGAAAGAGAAAGATGACAGTGGCATCAAGTACATAGCGTACGCAGCGCACTGTGGCTTGCCGCCACTACTAATTTTTTCTGCACTTTTTCGGTTTGTGCAGTCTCCAGGAGTTTGCACACATCAAGTGAGAGCGAAACAACGCTGTTCAAAAGTGAAAACATCGCAAAGTCACGGTTCAAAACAACACATTAAACCGTCCGCTTCCCTTCGCCAGAGCAAGGCAAGATTACGTGATCCAATCCTGAACGTCACAGCAATTGTAGCACCCGCGCCTCCAGTTCTGGGCCTCGCACATAAAATCAGGGTAATTCAAAATTGTTACGTAACAGGATACCCATGATGCAGGCCTCCAGTGTCCAGGAGAAATGAGGCACATGTGATATCGAATGACACACCAGTTCGAGTCAAGAAGCATCAGGATTCTTGAGGTGCTTTCCCCATAATCATTCCTATATTCAAGTGTTTACAGCCCACTCGTATACAACTTAAAATATCAAAACTATAATCAAAATACATTTTCCACTTCAAATATCATTGCTTTAGATCAGAGGTTGTAGAAGAGTGGTTTCATTTTCATGTTCTTTTCATTAATTTTTTTCAAAGTGATTACCGTATTTACTCGTGTAATCCTCGCACTCGAATAATTCTCGCACCCCCCTCCCCCCCCCATCGCCCAAAAAAACTACGATTTCTTTTTTTTCCTTGAGTAGTTATCGCACCCCCGAAAACTGCCGCAATAATGTCATCTGCTCGTTCTAGCCAGTGATGATGATAGCGCACGCCATCTAGCGCCATCTCTTAAGCATCAAGCGACGTCTAAAACTCTGGGACAGACTGTGCTGGCAGGTGGACAAACACCCCGACAGTGTCCAGCGCAACGAAGGGCCGACAGAAAATATCTAAACGACGCCGACGCCACTGGATAGACTTGGCCGAGGGCACGTTTCCCCTGGTGGCGAAACTGGCAATTTACTACCAGACCTTTCTTTCTTCGAACAGTAAAGTGGAAAACGTGTGAGTGCGTGTTCGCGTGAAGTGCGTGTAAAACACAAAATGTTTTTTTTTTTTTTTTTTTTTTGACGGTGGCGCGGCAAGCGCCTGACTGGTGATGTGTGTGTGCGTGTGTATGGATGTGCGTTGAAGCGCACAACTTTGTCCTGTGGCGCTGCTGGCGCCTGCCCTGTGCCAAAAGGGATTAGGAGCACCTACTTACTTACTTACTTACTTACTATTATTGCACACAGATTCAATCCAATCCAAGCCAAGCTGAAGTGGCCAGTATGCGTTGTGGCGTGTTTTCTATGCTGTGTCGGTAATCTTGGCACGTTATGGGGTGATGCTACATGGCTGCTTCAAGTTGCCATTGATAGATCATGCACTAAACGACGGCAACAGGGCCGCAGGTAGGCCCTTCGGAGTCTAAGAGCTTTGTGTTCGCTACTGGTGACGGCAGCTGGAAAGCCACCAAGAAGCGTTGGGCCTGCCTTGGGCCTAAAACTGGGATTGATGATAAACTTTATTTCTTCAGAAGGAAACTGCGGACGATTCTGTTAAATAGCCATCAGCCCAATACTGACGTCCTACGCTTACCTTTTGAGGGCTCCTGTTAAGCGACGAACGCTACCGTTACGCCCGCAATGCCCACGAACTTTTCGTATGGTATTCTAATTCTCGACTATTTGCTTGCACTTTTTGTGTCTCAAATAAATCTTGCCTTGCGTTGAACCTCTGCTTTTATTGTTGAGGTAAGTTCTAATTAGTACTTCTTAAGGCTTGCTGTAAGTTGCTGGTCTGAGAATGCCGATTTGCGGCCACTTTGTTTTCTGTTTCGCTTTGTACGTTTTTGTGGAAAGTTTTCCTCGCGTAATTCTCGCACCCCCCAACTTTGCATCAGATTTCCGGCAAAAAAAAGTGCGAGAACTATGCACGTAAACACGGTAGCTTCTGCAATTAGTCTTGTAGCCCACCGAAATTTTCAAGTGAAATTCCTAACAAAACAAAACACTACTCGGACATCCAGTTTTCAACATCAATCACAGACCTGTATGGTATAATACAAACAAATAATAAATGAAGTAAAACTGTATTATATTGTAATGTATTTAAAGGGGCCCTGCAACACTTTTTGAGCATGGTCAGAAAATGCTCCTGATCGCTACCGACAACACGCGAGCCAAATATTATAACATAGCACGCGACCTGAATTCACAATAAATTATCAAAGTGAGCTACAAATTGCTTCCTCTTCTCTCTACAAATGACAGAGGACGCTAAGAAATCACTCGTAGAAAGCCCATCTATCAGCTTTTGGCTGATTTGAACATGGCGCGCTCGGCCGTTACAGAGATCGGCGCAAGAGGCCGCGACTTGTCCACGCGTGCGCGTGCAATCACAGTGAAGAAGCCGCGCACTCGAAGAAAAAAAGAAAGAAAAAGTGCTCAAGGTCACGAGGTGCGCATGACGCCTCGTGACCCTGATGCTATTCGTAGTAACTTGCGCCTGCCATCCCTCACTGATTAACTTCCAGTGCTTTCGTTGGGACGAGAGAAGAGAGAATGCCACATGAGCATGCGACAAAAACTCCACTCGCACTGGACGAACTTCCAAAACTTTTGTGGCTTTGAATTCGTGAGGCAATAAGCTATTCCAGTGAATTCGTACCATAGTTACATAATAAAGTGTTTCAGGGTTTTAAAATGACAAGCATTAATATGGTGCAAGCAACACAAATTATACACGCAGTCCATCTAACTCACAAAGAAAAAAGCACAACATTCTAAAATTATAATTTGTAAAGTGAAGGTGTAGAAATAAAACATCCCATAAATATATAAAGAGTATTCAGAATATGCATTTTAAACAGCTACACATTGTGCAGCCTGCAGAACTCACCGTTCCACCAATGCCTTAAAGTCTAGAGCTCCAGCTATGAGCAAAGCAGCGTGCCTAGAAAGGAAAAATTAGATAAATAATGCATCTTCCAAATTCTACATTCACATGACACAGAAATGCCAATGTGGATTTCTGAAGTTTTATTACCTCAGCTGGTCTTCTTTCTGCTTGAATGCCTGCCTAGGCAGTGCCATTGCAGGGTTTGAGTACACAACGACTGGCATCCTATATGCGAGGTAAGCACCTTGCAACCACCAATCTGCAAGCTAAGCACAAATTTACAATATATAGTGTAAAAACAAAAAAAGTAATAGTCTACCATATATCACTTTCTATGCCAGACGCACTGAACAATACGCCTGACTACATCTAATTTCTTTCTAAAAGAACATTGATAAACTTGCTATAGCAACAAGTGTTACCATAACATACTTCTAGCCCCCACCCAAACCAAATACTATTCAGTTTTGAGCCATCGTATTGTTTTCGCAGATGGAGCAAGAATGCCCGACACAGTTACTAGCATTTTTTTAATTTTATATATAAAGTCATTTTTTGTGTCCCATTTGTCATGGACAAATGAAGCCTTGCTAGTTGATATGATATATGCTCATGAATGTTGTCTTCATTTTTAATGTATTAGCCCATATAAGCCCAAACTTATATAAATTAACAAAAATAATTTATTTCCATAAAATTATTGCTTCTAGGACCTCAGAAAACAGAATGAGGCTTTTATTTTTAAAAAAAACTATTTCAAACAATAATTTTGTAGCCGTCCTATATGTGGGGCACCAATGTTTGACACACCGCAAAAAAAAACAGTGCTTATATCACTGTCATATGAAAGTTACTGCACACCCGATAACTGAAGAACAATTGACAAAAATATTAGCAGCATTGACAATAAGCTATCTGTATATTACTTGTATCTTTTTCTTTGCAATACAGCACTCAGCTACACGCACGCGAAATAGCCACTTTGTGACTGCAAACATGTGGCTATTTGTAGCCCAGCGATTACTTAGACTTCCGTGGGATGAGAACAGGGCACCATAAACACAACTTTGGTGGTGCTACCTTTTTCACAGAAAAAACATTCGAGTAACACTGAAAAGTCTCAGCGTCCTACATGTAGGACTCTGAGCATATATGGGTTAACACTGCTTATAAAAAAGTATGAAGTTAAATGGCACAAATACAAAGTTACCACATGTCCAATTTGCAACTGGTTTGAAACACACTTATGCTTTCTAGAACAAAAGAAATACACAGTACAACTGACCCCACACATAGTACAACAGCCGCTACGACCCCATGAGCCTTTTCCATCCCTTTGAGAAACAAGCCTATCCCTAATACATATTAAAGAAGAAGATTTCACACACTAACCCAGTTTTCTGTAGACGCTGCTTTGGCTTCAAGAACTTTATACAACTTCTCTCCGATTCCATTTGGCTTGCCAAACTCTTCTACTACCTGGAAAATGAGAAACGGACAGTAAAGACTATCATTAGCATTTTGACTCAACCATGGCTCAGATGCCTCCCAAGAAAAAAGGCAACAAAATCTATGCCACAAGCGATAGACATGTTTGCAAAATTTCAGACCAGTACACCACAAGGATTCCTTTCCATGGTTCTTGGTATCCCTTTATTAAACCAGCCATGGGAGCCGCATTTCATGGAGGCAAATACTAGAGGGCCATGTGCTTAGATTTAGATGCACATTAAAGAGCCCCATGTGGTCAAAATTTCAAAATCCCTCCACTACAGCATTCTTCATAACCATATCCCAGTTTTGGGACATAATATCCCTACAATTATTCTAAGCTATTCTTTTATCAGCCAGTGCTAATAACTAGCCAATACCTGCGACAACATACCTGGAGCAGTGATGAAGCGCAAAAAGGGAATAGCACTGGAATAACATTTTTAAAATTAACCAAGCCTCAGCTGTTTGATCCCTGTGAGTGAATACTAAATTTATGTCAGTGCACTTTCTTCAAAATAAAAGTTTTGCAAGCCCTGATGCAGGTGTAAGTAAATTTTAGGACTGTGTTTTAAAAAACCAAGGCACTACGACCACACCAATACAGCTAGAATTCAAAGAGCATGACCGGCACACTAAAAAATATTGCCAGGGCTAAGAAAAGTACCGACATGACAATTCCCCTTCCTACATCTTCTGATTTTGTAGGAGACTGTAGACTTCATAGCTTTATTTCGAAGCACCACTAAAAGCAATCCTCTGGAGTTATTGCTTGAGTAGATGTAGTCATAACATCGGGTAAAACATAAGAGCACAACATAATCACAGGAAACAAAATACAGAATAAAGCATCACAAGGCCAAACAAACACTCAATTTCCAATCAAAATAAATGACAAGCAGAAAACAAAAATATTATAAATGTAAACAAATAAGAACAGAGATTACACTCCTTAGAACTGTGCAATCAGCTAAAGAAATAGAAGATATACATACATGATGCATTAGAAAAGTCATGCCTCACAAGCTCACGAAATTCACAGGGTTAGTGGCAGTGACCATGTTGAGCGAAAAATTATTCTAACTGAATCTCATTCTAGCCATGAATGACCGAGCTAATCGGTGTGTGTGGCATGACAAGCACTTCATCTTGGAAGAACGAATTGTATTCTAATTTCAGGTTTTACGTGCTAAAACCAGAATGTTATTATAAGGCACACAGTGATGGGAATGGCTAAAAGTGTTTTGTATCAGGAAAAATGATGATTTGTAGCAGCTTCGCTCAGTTTTGTAGCAGGTTGGGAAAACGAAAAAAAAAACAAGTCAAATGTCGTTTTAATGCTTTTATTATACAATAAAATGAAGTATTAAGTACAGTGTGTGCATGAATTCAATAACGGTGCAACTAATGCAAGCTTTAAACAAAGCCCAGGATCACAAATATATGCAGACTGGTTGGCACAAAGACGCAAGTACACAATACATGAATGTCACTAGCATGAAACACACTAAGCTTTCTTCCCTTTTTTTCTCCGCATGCAAGGGTGGTATACACTCGGCCATCTTTTTTTCGAGCTTGAGCAAGCACTGCTCAGCTTGAACGACAGTACCACCAGGTACCGACACTAGACAGTGACAAGCCCATGCACAAGTACAGCCAAGTGTGGCTGTCAGCCGCACGTAGGCACATGGGCTAACAATAACAAACCTACGCCGCCCACGCATTGAATTGTATTGGCTCTGCCTACGAATGACACGAGAGGTGGCAGCCTATGTGCCACCTGGTATTGCTGAAAAATCCCCTTGATGGTAGCCTCCGAGATAAAGCAGCACATTGCCAGGTAATCTCGAAGGCTATGCTCTCTTAATATTTAGTGTTTAAACATTTCTTGCAATTGTGTCGTGAATCCCATGCGTCTTGCACTGTACGTTTTTCTTCTTGCATTGTTAGTATTTTTGTGAATGCCTTGTCATTGTATTATTGTATCATTGTATTTGCACCTCCTGCATGGGCCAGCATATTGGCCTGCAGTATCTATAAATAAATAAATAAATAAATAAATAAATACTCATTTGTAGCATGAATGTAGCAGCTTTCACGAAATGTAAAAGGTAGGAGCAATGGTGCTCATTTGTATCATAGATATAGCAGCTTTAATTAAACATAGCAGCTTCAAGCAATTGTAGCAGCTTTCCCATCACTGGGCACACCATATTGGGGGACCTCACATTACATTTAACCTCCTGGGGTTCTTCAACCTGCACCTGAATCTTGGTGCACAGGTGTTCTTTCATTTCACCCCATTGAAATATGGCTGCCGTGGCTGGGGATTACACCTACGTCCTTGGGGTTGCCTACACGACACCATACCTGCCAAGTTACCTAGAATAATAGCAACACAAAGAGGTTACAGAAGTGGCCTGAAAAAACTTTCATGAAGCAATCTGTGGTTGTGAAACTTATGAAAAAGTGAGAACCCAGTGATTTGTTCACAGTATGCAAATTGCTTGAGTTGAGCCTAACTTCTCAGTGCTGTTGCACTTTTGTCATGTAAATAGAATAAATTAACCTGACTGCCAAGTTTTACAGTGATTCAATATGTATACTTACCCCCGAATGCAGAGATGTTACTTAACTCGTACTTGACTCGTTCTTGACTCAAGACAGTCTTGCCGGTCGCCATAAATCGTTATCGAACTTGCGGACGACTTGAAGGCGACTTGGCTCGGTCGAAGTCAGGACAAGTTTCAAGTCAGCTGCGGGGCTAGCTTGAAAGCGACTTCATGCGTTATTCCAACATGGCCACCTCTCGAATGGACGTTCTGCGGAGGGTGGCCGCTTTTCAGTTTACTTGCTTCGCCACTAGCGTAGCATTTTCTGAGGCGCACTGCCTGCCGAAGATTCTTGGAACCGCTTTACGTGACCAAGGAAATCCGATGGAGTTGTACGACGAGCAACAATTCCACGCTAGGTACAGATTCATGAAGAACGCCGTGGGGCAGCTGCTTGTTATGTTGCCGCTCCGTGAAAGTGGGGTCAACCGAAGACAGCCCGTGCATCCAGTGTTACAGCTACTGATGGCTCTCAGGTTTTACAGCGCTGGCACATTCCAACCAGTCACCGGAAATTTCATCCGCATTCCGTAGTCGACAGTGTGCCGTGCAGTCGGAAAAGTTACGCTACTCATCGCAAAGCACCTGTACGCGATGCTGGTGCGCTTTCCGCAGCCGGCGGACTGTTATGAAGTGGCTGAGTTCCCTTGCGTTACAAGTTGTGTCGACTACACACACGTGCGTATTAATAGCCCCGGTGTCGACAACGCCGAAGTGTTCCGTAACCGCAAAGGCTATTTCTGTTTTCTATAACACGACGACATTTTCCGTCTCTTTCGGTAAAAAAAAAAATGACTCGGTGCTGTGTCCGTGTGCCTCGTCTATCCTTTCGTCCCGTCTAGGGCGCTGTTTCTCGCTCAGAAAGGCATCGCTTGTAGCACAACGCTACGTAAAATTTCACACACATAAGAAAGAGGTGCCCCTATCACGGGTTTTATTATCCGTGTCACCATCATGCAGCGATACATTGATGCACCCCACGAGACAGAATTCTGCTGAGGGCAATGTCCTGACCCCCACTTTTTCTCTTGTTTACCAAGCTCAACAAAAGGATACGAATCACATTTGTTCCCAGAACGTGTTTTTTTTTTTTTTTCATAATAATTGCGACTTAGCCCATTACAGGCATGCACACAGGCGAACAGAAAGGCAAATACCGTGAAAATCGCGTCACCAGCACAAATACATGCCATGGCGCTCGTTTGAAAAAAAAAAAACGACGGAAGAACCCAACGCGATGCTTGTTTCGCCTCCAAACAAGCAGCCGTGGAGAAACGCCCCGCATTTGGGTGGCCACTAAAACCAGCGAGCAACGAACGCTTTACAGAAGCAACACTGCGCATCGCTGTGGCGGCAGGCACCACGTGCCGCTCGTTAGCCGTAAAATGGCAAGAATATGCTTGTGGCCCTTCGTTTTTATAGTTATTTTAAAACGTATGTTTTTTTTTTTTATGTAATGCATGCCTTACGCAAACAACTTCATTATTACCCTCGTTAGCAGGCGTGCAGCGTGTTTCTGGTTTGAAGCTCGTTCTTGACTTGACCAAGCAAGACAGCCTGAGCATCTATGAAACGCGAAGGCTGACTTGGGCGTTTTGAAGTCCGCTGCTTGCTTCACGCCGACTTGCTCAAGTCAAGTCGAAGTCGCGAGCAGTGGCGTAACTAGATAGGACGGCGCCCAGGGCAAATATATTTCCGCGCCCCTCATTATGCCCGTGATAATTTCCGCGCCCCCCCCCCATTAAAAGCGCTAATGTAGGCTTCCGCGATTGCCTACTGGCGCGCGGCGGGCCATTTCGGAGGCCAAGGGCCACCAGTTCTGATTTCGATGAGCTACGCCCGCGTTTTTGTATAGTATTTTTTCTTTTTTTATTCAAACTTCCGGAAGTCCCTTACCCGTCATTGTTCTCTTCCAGTCCACACTGCAAAAATCTTGACGGCACGGGCGCTTCCCAGGCCCAAGTTTCTCGTACCTAAGCTTTCGCGCTATTTGTGCATCCCAAGGAATGCAGGGTGAGTACAAAACAAAGCAACCAGCTAGACACCGCGCCCTCGGGTCTGGTATGGGGGTTAAACTGGTCGGAGTGTTCTGCCGTTTCGCTCCGTTCGCTGTTCCATTGATGGAGGTCATCCTTGTGCGGCCGCATTCTTTCAGGGAAGTTCTTGGTTTCTCCAACGTACGAAGCGGGGCAGTCGGCACATGCTGTCGGGTACACTACGCTCTGCGCTTTTTTCGCAGGTGCGTGTTCTTTGGGCCAAAGGATGAACCTGCCCATGGCGGTGGATGGCATGTGGGAAACGTTGACCCCCGCCCTTCTATTGCTTTGCTGGCGCCCGCGATGCAGGGAATCAACAAACGTCGCCGTCGTGTCACGC